CTAATTTAATCACTTTTAAATGTATGTGCAGTTTTGTTTGGAAAGCTCGTGTGGAATCTGCCTCCACTGCTCTCCCATGCAGCACATTCCAAATCCTAACAACTCTCTGAGTGAAGAAGTTTCTCCTAGCTCTCTTGCTGACAATGTTGAAATTGTGACCCCTAGTTACTGACATACCAGTTAGTGAAACAGAATATTCTTCTTTACCCTGTCAAAATTGTTCATAATTTTGAACACCTCAATAAAGTCACTGAAATAACTCCACAGAGGCTGGTATCCCGTCATCAAGGCACTCTTTATTTACACATGAAAAGTCCTTGAATATAGTACTGCCTCATACAGAGTCAGGCACCAGCATGTCAGTATCTCTGACCTGCTCCCTAATCGGACCAGATCAACAGCCCCAATCAGTTAACTCATATTCTATGAGGTCCAGCTGGCTGACCTCATGACATTCACTACAATCACCTCTCAATCCTCTCCACTCCAAGTAGAATAAGCCTAATTTCTCTAATCTTTCCTTGGATCTAAAATTCCTCATTCCTGGTATCATTCTAGTAAATCTCCTTTGCACTCTCTCCAAGGTTTTAATATCCTTCCTTAAGTAAGCTGCCCAGATCAGAACACAATACTCCAAATGTGGTCTATCCAATGATTTGTAGAGGTCTAGTATCAGTTCTTGTTTTTACACTCTATGCCTTTATTTATAAACCCAAGGTTTCTAAAAGCCTTCTTAACAACTGTTTCAACATGCTTGGCCATCTTCAAAGAATTATGCACTTGAACCCTGAAGTTACATTGCTCCTGTACTAACCTCAAAGTTGTACTGTTCAGCCTGTACTGTCTCTCCATGTTTCTTCTACCAAAATGCATTACCTCACATTTCTCTACATTGAAATTCATCTGCCAGGTGTCTGCCCATTTGACCAACTTGACAATGTCTCTCCAAAGTTACTCAACATCATCCTCATAATTCATTCCTCTCCCTAGCTTAGTATCACCTGCAAATTTAGAGATTTTGCCCGTACCACCCATCTCCAAATCACTTAGATAAATCAAAAAAAGCAAAGCCCCCAACACCGATCCATGGGGAACACCACCTTTCAACTTGTTTCCAGTCTGAGAAATGTCCACCTCTACCTACCCTCTGTTCTCTATCTTTTAGCCAACTTCTAATCTATGCTGCCAAGGACTCATCAATCACAAACATTTCTAATTTGCTAACCAACCTACCACATTGCACTGTATCAAATACTTTCTGAAAGGCCAAATATATCACATCAACAGCGCTACCCTCATCCACTGCCAGTGTCACCTTGTCAAAGAACTCAAATTTGTCAGACATAACCATCACTTGATAAAGTAATGTTGACTGTCTAGTGTTAATCATTATTCTGTCAGTGTATATTCACCCTATCCCATATTATGACCTTATCATGTTTCCCACTATTGACGTTATGCTGACAGGTCTGTTGTTTCCTGGGTTATCCTTTGCCCCTTTCTTAAACAATGGGGTCACATTTGCAATCCTCCAATCTCCTGGGATGAATTTTGTGTTCAGAGGGACCTAGAAAATTTCTGTCAGTGGCTTCACAATTTGCTCTCTTACCTGTCTCAGCAATCTAGCATGCATCCGATCTGGGATCTGGCGACTTCTCTACCTGAAATACCAGCAGTCTTTTTAGCACCTCTTCTTTATTTATAACTACACTGTTCAGTTGCTCAACACCCGCATTTTTAATTGGGCTATTGTCACCATTTTTGATTTACTCATTGTTAAAAAACTTTTAGGAAATATGAGCTCAAAATGAGCCAATGTGTTCCTCTAGAATCATTTGTTTTTCCTCTTTAGGTTTCATCCCTTATCATGCATTTGTCTGGTATGAACCTAATTAATATATTGAAATAATAGATTCAAAGGCAAGATGATTTAGTGAGGGAGTTCTGGAGAGTAGTACTGAAACAATTGATGGCTTTGCTAAAGAGGTATGAAGGATAGGAGCAGAAGTAGACTATTCATTTTCTGAACCTGCTCCGCCATTCAATAAGATCATGGCTGATTGGTTGTGCTTTGAATTCACCATTCACTCTGAACACTCATTGATTCCCCTGCTGAACAAGAATCTATCCACCATTTTCAAACAGGGCCACCTAGATCTGGACTGATTCACAAGAGGAAGCATCCTTTTCATATCCACCTTTTCAAGACTTTTTATGGTCTTATACACTTCAATCAAATCATAGAATCCTAGAATTTCTGCAGTGTCAAAGCAGGCCAATCAGCCCATTGAGTCCAATCCGAAGAGCATCCCACCCAGACCCACTTCCCCTCCCTATACCAATAACCAAGCATTTCTCATGGCTAATCCAGCCTACAGATCTTTGAAGTCATCTCTCATTCTTGTAAACGCCAAAAAAAACGACAGGCTGTCCAAGCTATCGTGTTAAGACAACCCATTCATTCCAGCTATCAATCTAGTAGACTTTTTCTGAACTGCCTCTAATGTATTTTCATCTTTTCTTAAACAAGGAGACCAAAATTGCACACAGTATTCGAGATGTGAGCTCATGAAAGCCCTGCCTAAATGAAACACAACATTCCTAAATTATGTTCAATTCTCCTTGAAATTAAAAAAAATCCCATTAGCCTTCTTGATTGTATGTTGTACCTGCACACTAACTATATGATTTATGCACCAGAGTACTTAAATCCCTCCGCATCTCAGAATTCTGCAGTCAATGTGTGTTTAAGTAATACTCTACATTTTTATTCTCCTTGCCAAACTAAACAACTTTGCATTTTCCCACTTATACTCCATCTGCTAGATTTTTGCCCAATCACGGAACCTATCCAAATACTTATGTCTTCTCCTATCTTGGTATTATCTGTGAATTTAAATACCATGTCATTGTTGAAGTCATTGATGTAAATTGAAAAAAGTTGACAGCCCAGCACAGATCTGTTGGATTCCACTCATCGTATCCTGCCAATTAGGCAAAGACCCACTTAGGCATACTCTGCTTTTGGCCAGCCAGCCAGCCAATCTTCTATCTCATCTTCTAAGTACTCCTATTCCATGAGCTTTTATTTTTCCCTCTTCCACTCCAGGTTATTTTCCAGCTTTTAGCAAATGTTCTGAATGGGCAGGCAACACAGCCATCCAGACTCTCCCTCTTACCTGCACAGTCAGAAGTCACACGACACCAGTTTATAGTCCAACAGGTTTATTTAAAATCACAAAGTTTCTGAGCCCTGCCCCTTCATCAGGTGAAGTGGAAGCAAGTGCACTGGACCAGAATATATAGGCAGGGTGATAATGGCAAGATAGTTTCAGGTAATTAATCTGTTGACACTCTTAGTTACCTGGAATTACCTTGCCATTATCTTTCTGCCTATATATTCTGTACTTGTGCACTTTCCTCCACTTCACCTGATGAAGGAGCAGCACTATGAGAGCTTGTGATTTCAAATAAACCTTTTGGATTATAATCTGGTGTTGCATGACTTCTGACTTTGTCCACCCCAGTCCAACACCAGCACCTCCACATTTTTGCTGGAGAGACCTGTGTCATTCTGCTTACTACACTATTATCTACAACTATTACATTCCTTGTTGTTCCTCACACTTCAGTGATTTCCTGTACTACAGTCAGTTTGCATATTCATGCTGCAAACCCATTCTCACCAAAACAGGCTAACAGAACCTCAAATTCATTGGACAATGGCAAAGGCTCACAACCTCCGGGTCTTCTTACTTGCTTCACTCAAAGCCACACCTTCCTGTCCTTGACTACAGACCAACTCAGAAAACCCTAGCCGAAGTGGAATGTGACTGCTTACTGATACAAATAATCTAGGTAGCTTAACAATGTCTTTAGTTCTGCCTCCAGCTCATAAGTCCTGACCTGAAGTTGCTTGAACGTCAAACACTTGGTGCACTCCTATGCTGAGGCCAAGAAAGGGAAAGAGATGAGAAACATGAGAATGAGGAAGGGATTTAGGACAAAACAAGGGTGTAGAAACAGGTGGGAGTGTGAGGGTACAGAGGAGGCAGAGATTTTGGCAATTAGGACTGCATGCATGGAACTTGATATTTTAGCAGTTCCTAATGAATTGGAGTTAAAAAGCTGAACTAAGATAGACAGTTGTTAATTACATAGAGGCAGATGTAAGTGGTTCTGGTGGTATAGTTTGGGTTTGCAATGTCTGCAATGATTTGCCTCAGTTGGATCAACAGATCTCAAAGTGTGGTTTACAGACTACATGTAGACTGTGAGGATCCATCAGGTGGTCCATAGACCGGTCAAAACAACGGTTAAGGCATCAGGCCAGAACCCTCATATCACTATTCATGTAACGTTACACAACCAGACTGGGTCCTGTGTGTACAGTGTTAGCCATCACAAGTGTGAGCAATAACAGTGCAACTTTTGAAGCAAGAAAATGTTATATGACAGCACACAATCGAGAGATTGGATTTTCAACATTGCATGGGCTGCACACAAAGAACAACTGCTAGAATGTGGAGCTAATGTGAGATGGATGCTGTCCAGATTGGAAGCAGACATAATCTCACTGATTTCTCATTAAAGGAAGTGACATTTTTCTAGTTGAGTTTTAACACAAGAAAAAGATGGGATATGAGAGATAGGTAATCCAAAGGGTTATTTGCCTAGCGTAAGTAATCCCCAGATGAAAAGTTGAAAATCATAGTTAGAAAGTTTGGTTAGTAAAGGGAGCTCTTCAGTTTTATCATATTTGTGGAATATGTAGCATAAATATCCCTGATACTGTCACTGGCCATACAGATGAAAAAATCCATCTCCTGAAGAACTTATAATTTGAGCAGGGCAATTATACTTGGACAAGAAAGCCCTTAACTCCACCTAATCCATTATTCCTGTGTGCTTTTTAGGCTCATGCCACGCAAATATATATTTGGATGGTCATGCTAGATGCTGAAGATGAAAAACAACATGATCTTAGAGAAATAATTTGGTTCATTTTAAAATAATGCTTATATTTATTGAAAATTTAAATACTTCTTTTTAAAACCTCATTTTAATGTAGCATGAATCATCAGCACAAAATTACTGCTGCTCATCATACAGTTTTTCATTTTGGTTTTTCACATTACTGTTCAATATAACAGTAACACATAACAAAACATACCATCTTTAGCATGTTCACATCACATTGAATATGCTTCAATTATAACTGAACCAGCTCTTTTTGAGAAATATCTGGTTTTGTTCATTTTGGTGACAAATATACCACACCTATTATCAATAGTGAAAGTTACAGCATATATTTATAGTAAGAGCTGTTATAACAATAGTATTTAAATACAAAATATTTTCACGTATATTTCTCTAGTAAAGCCCTGAACAAAAGAATCTATACAGTTTATACAGATTGTTTCTCATAACAGATGAATGGGGGTTTTATCTAAGAGATACTTATAGTGACAGTCCAGTACTTGTAATGAATATAACCAGACAGCAAAATCTTATACTTGAATACCTGAAGGAACTTCTGCACATAATGCATGGATAACCTGGATTCAGAAAGAGCTACACAGACCAATCTTCCCTTAAAGTGATGTCAATCTATTCACCCAATCTATTTTCCAAAGCAAGTACATGTAATTTTAAACTTTATTAATACTGAAAGCGATAATCACGTCCTTTCTTGAGAACTAGATAGAGGTGACGGAGCAAAAATTGGTAATAAGATTGTTATTTTCCTGTGTGAATTAATATTTCATATTCATTTCTTCAAATGGTTGAGATTTCATTAGTGCTATCAATGTCAGTCTTGCAATGCTAGTTACAGTACATAATATGAAATTGATCTGCAAGCTTCAAAACTGGCATCACAAGCTGAGTCATTGACTGAATTGCTGCAGTGCTTCAGAAAAGGTATTTGCATAACTCATTGAGGTCACTTGAATAATAAAACATCCCTAAGTGATATTGAGCCCTCAATGCCTGTTCATGAACCACAGCTCCTCAAATTCAGAACTTTTATTTAAACAGAAGCATTAAATCAGGAGAGGAGATCCATTAATTTGTCAGTAGGGCACTATCTTTCATAGCCTGATGGTCAAATTAATGGAGAATTATTTTAGGGAGTCTCTTGACCATGCTTGGCAAAAACTATAATCCCAGCCAAGTGCTTTATTTCTCCTAAGCACTTTGAAAAGAATACATAAATATTTAACAAAGTAAATAACTTTTTTTAAGTGTAATGCACATTCCACGTACATTTGGAGTTTGTAAATGCACAATTTTAAGCAAAAATATTAAGAACCCAAAATATGACTGGTCCAGAAATGATCTCACATAGTTAATGGAGGTGATAACACAAAACTATAGAACCCCAAAGGTAAAAAAAAAAATTCCTCAGCTAAACATTTTAATTTAAGAGGAACTAATTTGAAGCATACCTTTGTAATCATGCACCACTGCACTGTGCTTATGACCTGAACTGGTTAAAATGACCTTGAGTGCCCGTTCCATACCTATTCGGAATATTAAACAATCCAGTTCTGAAGCCCTGAGTCATTCCTGTTGTAGGTCTCCCAATGCTATGGGGAGCACCTCCATATGAAACAATCCCATAATTGAGACCTAAGCCATAAGGTCTAGTTGGTGGGGCAGTTGGTAGGATGACTGGGTTGATGTTCTTGCCTGGTGTGTTGAAAGAAAATTCAGGAGGAGGACTGGATGGTTTTGCTGGGGTAGAGGTGATTGGGTTCATGTCATCCACAGATTTGACAGCTGGAACTGGTGCAATATTGATGTGGTCCAAGGGATTCAGTATGTTGCTTGGGATTGATCCTGTAACCAGTGATGGTCTAACCCAATCATCTTTAAAAATCTGAACAGTTAAAGTTTTAACAAGAGTGGATAGGCGGTTGGTCACATGGGCCAGCACCAACTGTTCGTTTGCATCTCTCCTGATCCGGACATGTACAGAGCCAGCCTAAAGAGGATAAAAGCAAAACCTTTTAAAAAATATATTCCCAATCTAATGAGAAAACTCAAATCGTGTAAAAGTTCAATCAGGATCTGAAGGAGGGGAGATTTCTGATAAAACCTTACAACCAATTAATAAAAATTCCATTCAATATTTTAACCAGCTTTAAAGTCTATAAACCAATTCCAGCATTGCCCATTTTTGCTTAATTATGCAGAATGCTCCCCATCTGATTACTTCTTGTGGACTCTGTCCCACCTTTTCAAAACATTTAAACGCAATTAACTTAGATAACAAAACCAGCACATAAAATACTGTGATAGTTGGAACTGCCAATGCTGGAGAATCTGAGATAATAAGGTGTAGAGCTGGATGAACACAGCAGGCCAAGCAGCATCAGAGGAGCAGGAAAGCTGACGTTTTGGGTCTAGACCCTTCTTCAGATTTTTTTCAGTTATCTCAGATTCTCCAGCATCTGCAGTTCCTACTATCATATGTAATTAGTATTCTCCGGGATACAACAGGCTAGGTAATCTGCAGAAATTTTTATTTTTCATGCAATAATTCTATATATTGTTAATTCATGTCTCTGATACAAAAAAATCCAAGTGCAACCAATGGCTTTGTTTTTCAACATACTGTCACATCTAAAATGCATTCTGCTTTAGATATAATGCAGAACATTAACTAACTGAAGCAAGCAAACGTCTGCCCTGTCACACACAATACTAAGGAACAAATCAATTCCACTCCATGAGTTGAATGTAGTTTACTCAGAGGCAAGCAATCAGAATGTTG